TGGGAGACTGGAGATTGAAAGTTTCGTATCTTGCTGAAATGGCAAAGATTTCGGCTTATCTGAAGAATCATTCGAATGAACAATTTTTATCAATATGGAGAAGATGGATTGTTTATATTCAAAAGAAGCATAGAGTGGTAGAATACAATTTAGGTTTTTAGTTGTTTACTCTTTCTATCTTTTCATGTAGATTAAGATAGTTTGTGGAGTTAGAGATATTAGTATTTGCTTACTTTTATATGAATATTATCCTGGGATTAGGTTTGGGAAGTCTGGGGGGGGGGGGTTTACTTGTTATTGTGTCTACTTATGTTATGATTGTTTTTTATGATGGAAAAAAAATAAAATTTCTTTGAAAAAAAAAAAGAATGTCAAAGTTTAACTGCTGAGAAATTCTGAAATCAATTTTTGAGCTGCAACACTAAATGTAGTGTTTGAGAACACTATGAGTTTCTAGTTTGAAAAAAGCTCAGCTAGCATGCTCCAGGTATTCTGCATTACAATTCTCACAATCTGGCTGCAGCTAGCAACAGAGGAAGTCAAAAACATGCAGAGAGAATCAAGCCACCTAGTTCTGCTCTAAGAGCATTTGAACAATACCTTTCAATTTTAATATTTAAAGTGTGTCTTTAATGTACACACTCATGTCAATGCTCAAGACTCATTACTTACCTTGAGAGCCTGAACATCCTCAACACGTATGACAAACTCATCCCGCTCTCGGAAGATCCCCTCACCACCACTCTCCACCTCCTCATCTGTCTCTCCACAAATGGCTGCAGTCTCCTGCTTTTTAGCAAGGTGAAGAGGCCGTGTGTCCTCGGGGTCTTCTGGTTCAGGAGATGCCTGTGGTGGTGGCTCTTCTAGCACTGGGGGAGGCTCCTTGAGTGAGGGGGCTGGAGAGATGGGTGGGGGCGGCTGCTCTTGCTGGGCATCTGCTGCCATTGAAGGAGTGGGGCTGGAGGCCTTCACCACAACCGGTGGCATATCTGCAGGAGGAAAAAGTAGAGAATAGGAGGGGTCATCCAACAAGGCAATTTATTCTTTGACTCTGGAACCTTTTTGGACTTAAGGATTTATCCGTTTGATAATTAGTACACTCTATTTACCAACACATACTGCAGAGGGCGTCCATATGCTACTTATAATGAAGGAACTGATTTCTTAATATTATCACATATTTAGTACACTAGTATACCTTCAACTTTTCAGGCATTCATGCCTGCATTTAATGTGTTTAATTTTTAGGTTCTGTAAATTAGATTTTAACTGTGCTGTCAGGTTTCATTAAATACAGGGACTTCTCACATGTAACAGTTAAGCTAGGAAAGCTCACCTAAGAAATCATAAACATAAATAAACTACAATTTTAGTGTACTTGTTTTATTTTCTCCAGTTCTGTTCCTTACTTTGAGCTAGTGGATAAACAAATTATATAGATACCAGTTATATGTGATATGTACCTTGGATAAATAAGCCATAATTTAGAAACCAACTGTAAAGTCTACTGCAAAATGGGCTAATGAATCCCAGCTTGAGAGAATTTAACCATAATCTCGGGTTGATCTTCATGCAAATTAGTCCAGCTCTTATTTACTTGTTTGTGTAATAGCAATAGCACTTAGACTTATATACTGCTTCATAGTGCTTTACAGCCTTCTCTAAGCGGTTTACAGAGTCAGCATATTGCCCCCAACAATCTGGGTCCTCATTTTAAGAGGTAATAAGACTAAACAGGAGAAAACAAGCTGAATGCATTACAGTAGCATACTATCCAGTTCGGATTTGTTAAATTAGAAACCCAAGTTTATCAATACTATATCTGTACATGTATGTGTGTGTATTTGGTATGAATAATCACTTGAAAACCAGATCATTATACCATGAGAGTTACTAAAACATAGTAGTTCTCATGGTATAATCACCTGGTTTTCAGTGAATCATACTATATTCACTATGCTATTAATTTAATGAGAAAAACAGCACTTTAAAAATATTTTCTACAAGTAAAATATAATGAAAATATTTCCAAAAAGTGTTAACTAGCTGTGAGTAAGTAAGCATATTTCTCTGAATGAAGAAAAGAGTATAGCTTTTTCATAATTTTATATCAGGACTATAAAGCTTTAAATAAGTCAAGGGCTGCACTCAGCCCTTGAGTGACAAGGAAGGGAATGCACTACAAAAAGTGAGTATGTCTAAGACAACAAAAATTGGCAATCAAAATCAGTAAAATGGGGTAATTTTTTCCATCACTTTCATAATTTTCTCCTGCAAAATAGTTGCAATCTGCCAGCAATTTTGGAGGGACTCTGAGGACATCACCCAAGACTTCTTGAGCTGGATACAGTGCTGTAACTGTGGAGTCCTTGGTGTTCTCTGAGCTTGGTTGTTTGCTTGCAGACGTTTCATTACCAGACTAGGTAACATTTTCAGTGCTAAAGGGGAGTGGGGTTTGCTCTAGCACTCCCTTCTAGCACTGAAGATGTTACCTAGTCTGGTAATGAAATGTCTGCAAGAAAACAACCAAGCTCAGAGAGCACCAAGGACCCCACCATTCAACCCTGAGCTACATATATTCTCTTCTATTGGTACAGTACTGTAAATGATCTAAAATCTAAAATGAATACTGGGTGGAAAAGGGTAAGAAAGTTTACAAGAAAGAGCGTGTGTATACCCTGATCCAATTAGGTAAACTATAGTATTAAGGCAATCTATTTGGAAAAGAGGGGAGCTCTTAAGTGCTACAGAAAGATGTTCACAATTTTACATTAAGGATGCAAAACGTATTACAAGTAGGAATAAGGAATATAGTAATAGAACTGTGACCTCTTCTGTATCCAAAAGAGGCCTCCTAGCTTCCCCAAATTAAATCCAAAATATTTTTTTTGAAAGGCTGAATACTCCTAAGGCTGCCATTTGCCTGGGGGGAGGGGTACCTTTGTTTTTAACTATGTTTTAAGGATTGTTGTGAGCTGCCTAGAGAGAGTGTATGAGAATAGGTGGCCATATAAGTCCTGTGAGTAAATAAAATAATTTCTGCCCAAGATGTCATGGTGATTGTACAATGTGGGCCAAATCCTAGAAACATTGCCGACTTATTGTTAAAAGGAAATATTAAGGCTATCATGTAGTGATAGAGACAGAAGTCACAAAAAGTAAGGGATACCATGATCAGAACAGGTGACCCTGGTACTCACCACTGAGTTCTCCATCCTTACGATCAGTGGGATCATAGAGCGCTGAGATGGCTGAGGAGATGCTCTTCTGCAGGTCCTGGTTCTTGCTAACAGAGTCTTCCTCATCTGATGAGAATGAGGGCAATGTCTCCAGGTTACGCTTCAGCTCCTCGTCAAGCCGTTTGCAGGGGCTGGTACAGCTCATGACAAGTCCAGCCGGATCGCCTTCTGGCCCATCCAAACCACCAGGCAGCATTGGGGGTGCCATGCTAAAGGGGGCTGGGGGCTGGGAGGACGAGGATGTAGCCAATGGGGGACGAGATGTCTTGGATGGACTGCCTGCAGAACAGACCACAGGAGCTGCTGCATTGGAGGTCCCAACTGTGGCTGCCAAGGAGGTGGTGGATGAAGGCAGTGTCTGGCGCTTGCCTGACTTCAGGAAGTCCAGGAAGGAGGCCATGAACCCTGACTTCATCTCAGGCTGCTTGTCTTCCACCTCCTTGATCTTCTGTTTGATCTTCTCTCTTGTCTGGTTGCTATCCAAGCTGCTCTCTTGGGTGGACTGGTGAGATGGGGTAGGAGCCTCCAAATAAGATCCCTCCAAACCTTTGGGGACTGGCAGTTTGATCTGGGGAAAAAGAAGGGACAGAAATTGGGGGAAGGGAGGCGATGGACAGCAATTTCCTGGCCTGCTGCTCCCATATGCTGTCTGGTGATCTCGACTTAAGGGCCCTTTTTTCTTTAAGATGTTTGTTTTTACTATCCACTAGCTTTCCTGTGGACCTTCAATCAAATCCAGGTATATGCAAATGAAGTGCATTGTACATATATCTTTCTTATTCTGTTTCCAAAATTAGCAATAGCAATAGCACTTAGACTTATATACCGCTTCACAGTGCTTTACAGCCCTCTCTAAGCAGTTTACAGAGTCAACAACAATCTGGGTCTTCATTTTACTGACCTCGGAAGGATGGAAGGCTGAGTCAACCTTGAGCAGGTGAGAACTGAACTGCTGGCAGCCGGCAGTCAGCAGAAGTAGCCTGCAGTACTGCATTCTAATCACTGCGCCACCACAGCTCTTTTGGAGACCATTTCAAAGTAGAGATTTTAATATTTAAGGTCCTCAAACAAGCTTGGCATGGGGTCCCCAGAGCCCCTCCAAAATTTTCAATTTATTGGAACAAAAAGGGAAAGGCAATTCAATGCACATGAAGTAAATATAAGAACAATGTTTGATTTTTTTTTAAAAAAACTGAATTTGATCTTAGTTTAATGTCAATGTACATCAGGGACAATGGTAAAAGTGCAGCCCTGGGAGCTAGTGAACAGACCCCAAAATGGTATTTTTTTCATATTTGGGGGACAAAGCACATGCCTTAAGCCTTGCAGATTTACAATACACACTTATTTATTATTTATTTTAAACTTCTATGCCGCCCTTCTCCCCAGAGGGACTCAGGGCGGCTCACAGCATGTTAAAAAACAACACAAAAAAAAAAACATTTCCCCTATAAAACCAATTAAAAAGCAAATATATTCATGGCTGTGTCATATTTAAAATCTTTAAAAAATTTTAAAAATTATTCCCTATTTAAAATTCACCCTAGGTCAGTCCCGCTTGTTGAAAAAGCCATGTCTTGAGGGCGCGGCGGAAGGTTAGGAGATCCGGAATCGTCCGGATCTCGGGGGGTAGCTCGTTCCAGAGGGTGGGGGCACCCACAGAGAAGGCCCTCCCCCT